ATAAGAAATAAGAAATGTCTTAATTATAATTTCAAGAGGTCTTACAGTTGGGGATGGAAAGACAAGATACGGCTGGATTAAACTTCAAAAGGCAATGATGTCATAAATATGAGCGCTGCACGTTTCAAGTCAAAATGTGGCACGGATGTCTTTATTTTAATGTATCTGAAGGGAACCGACTGTCCTCAGAAACGTGTCGTTGGCATTTTAATTTCATTTTACCTATAATTCCTGATAAAGCAGCGTTTATGAGCGTGGAGCTGCTTTGTGTACAGCCGTTACCGGGGAAACCGCAATATTTCAGTGCTCCTAAAGTGCCACCTCGTGGCAGAGAATGAATTTGCATTTCCAATAAGCCTTTCTTTGTGATTATGGTCAGATCAATGCAAATATCAACTCATGTTTTTACGCAGCAAACACAGAGTTGTAAATGAGAAAGAAGTTAATGTGCCTTCTAAAAATCTAAACAATTAAGACAGTAATATTTTTTTATTTTTTATTTATCGTTTTAAATTGACAATTTATATGCTTGATTTATCCCTTTTCATAAAATGGTCTAAAGGCTGAAATGCTGTTGTATAAGAGTTTAGTTTTTGTGAAAACCTGTATCTGAACTGTAAATCATGTAATATTCTGGCTCAATACTGTATGTTACCATAGACATTGTCCAACCCCACTCATACTGTTAATTTTACTTGTGCAGCTCTTAAAATGGGTCATAAATTGCCTTAAATTTATTTTAAAAAATTCTGCAGATACTGTAAATAGTGAAATAAAATTCCTTCCTTCATATTTGTTGATATTTGTGTATTGAAAATATTTTTGATTGACATTTAAACTCCTATCTGATTTTCTATATTTAAAAAAAAAAAAAGGTCTTTTTTTTATTTGGGCTAGTTAAATTCATTTTCGGGCTACAAAAATCTGAAGAGTACCTGCCCAAAGGGCTACCAGGGATTTTGAAATTTTGCGAGCCCTGGGGTACATAACAATACAGCAACTTTTGTAGGTAATTCAACACAGACATGTTTTATATACTATATAACTATATAGAAATGACTATTTATTGATAATCTAGTGAATTGTAATTTAGCACAGATAAACAGTCTAGTGGAATCTCTACTGGCAGACATACTGTCCTCAGCAAGCACCACTAATGACTGTTTCCAAACATATCCAAACAAGCCCACAAGGGCCATGCATTATTATTTTTCTGTCTTGTTTTCTTAGGAACATTACATCATTATTTTTGCAGTTCTGTTGGTGCAGAAATGACTCACTCTGCTTTACGTCACTATTATGTTGTAACTGCGTATATACACAGTGTGTGCACCGCTGATGGTGTTGCATAATAAATTTGCGTATTTGACTTTCCATCACCCCTAAACTTTCCCCTGCCCCATGTGCAGCCCATAATCTGTTTAGTGTGCCTTCATGTACTGTACCAGGATCAGATTCAGCTGTAAGTACTCTCTTGTGACTCGGCATTACCTTGGTTAAAATTTAGTCTGCTTTCAAAACACAAGACTAAAGGCTACATAAAGGACATAGATTGGACTTGCTAAAACATTTTGGTTTTGTGGTACATTTATGCTGGAAAAAGTAGCTACAACCAGCTCCCAGTAAACCAACCAGTTTACATGGTTTATAGTTGGACATTTACGGCCATTAGCTGCTCTAAGCTGGTCTACATGGTGGATCAGATGGACTACCAGATTGTGAGTCTTGTTTTGACCTGATAGATCATATTGCTCAGTCTAGTTCGAGCTAACAGACCACCTTTGACCAGCAGGCCAACTACCATGACTGAAATAAGGGACAGGTCACAGTGGTCGACTGGTCGTCCACAAGTCAGTTGGTGAGGTTGACTATTTCAGGGGTTTTCAAACATTATTTCAAACTTGATGATTCTGTTGTGAGGGATTCACTTTCACTGCATGAAAAAATAAAATCATTTCCAGAACTGTATGGAGATTTGGATTTTATGTCTTGCTTCTAAAGCCCGGGTCCTCAACAGAATGAAACAACTGTGATTAATCTAATGATTTCTAATCAGTATTTAGAAAGCAGAATGAAAGATAGGGCTTCACGATAAATCGCATGCGATATTTAACGCGCATCTTATCAGTAAA